CCTTTGCGAGCTTCACCATGATAGCGGCTTACGACTGCGGAATGTGTGGCGGGCGAGTGGCGCAGATAAGCCCAGAGGAACCCAACAACGTCTATGGCGGCCGCTGGTACTGAAGACCGGAGCACGTAAGCTTAGCTGCCAGCTAGAGCTCCAGACTGAGGCGAAAGACTGAGCCTGCCCAGTAATCGCCTGTGGAAAGACGACGACGACGCCCTCGTGACTCCGTTTCAGCCAACCAGAGTTCGCGCTCATCCCATGAGCCAACCGTGAGCCTCTGTCGAGAACGACGCGGGGCGGAGCGGGGGCGGGAGTGGGCGGGCCGAGGCGGCCAGAGGAGAGGAAGGAGATTCGATTTCCGCGCTCTGAGGGCGGGACTCGCTTTGTGTAAGGCCAGTGCTGATTGGACGGTGGGCGCGCGGTCACAGAAGTGCCCCTCCGCGGCCTGAGCTCGCGGCGCCTGCGCGGTGTGATGGACGTTTTTTGGCCCCGCGTGTGCCGGATCCCGGGGCGGTGGTACCTGCGCAGTTCGATTCCTTAACGTGTCCGGGTCCTGACAAATCATGCGGAGTTTCTCTGCGGCCCCGTTCCGCACTTCATGCTCAGCCTCCCTGAGGCCGTGAAGAAAGGAGCTCGCCCCAGTTACCGTGCTGATGACCCCGAGACCTGAAATCCAGGGACCACAGGTTCACAACGCCTCAGTTGGAGGCCCACCCCTTGCCCCACCCGCCAACGAACTACGGCCAGAAAATCTCCCTGTCTGCAGGTGATTCCCTACCTAGCCACGTGCCTGAAGTTGCCTCCTGAGAGGCGTTAATAAAGGCAGTTGTGTATATTTGTGAGGCTTACTGCGGCCAGTGTACAACCATCACACTAATCTCAAGTAACTTCATGGGTTAGGTATTTCTTGCAATGGAGAACAGGCTCAGAAAGGTAACTTTCTGGCGGTCACAGGGTGTTTAGAACTGGGATGGGAAGAGGAACTCGGTCAGGCCAACCACTGAGCCTGGTCTTTGACCACTCACAAGTTCCCTCTGTGGGACTAAAAACGTGGCAGAGAAGTCCGTGTAACCAGATGGTCCAGGAGTAGGTGAAAAGAGCACAGGGGAAAAGTTCCCTCAATGGGGGCGGCACAGAAGACTCTTAGTTGCGCTTTTGCCGATTATTCAGATAGGTCACTGGGCAAACTTAATTCGCGCCCAACTTAGAACACTTCCTTCAGTTTAGAGTTTACCTGAAATACTTCTTGGGCATCTGGTACCATATTGTTCCTACAAAACCAGGATACTTCGGGTATGACGATATTTCCCCAACTGAACTGATACTCAAAATCATCTCTGGCGAGGTCTGGGTTGGGGCTCAGGATTTTGTATTTTAACAAAGGCCCGTGGGGGTTCTTATGAGCAATCAAGTTATTTTGCAGTTCTTACTAGAATGCTGTTGGGACTGAGTGTATAGGAGTTTCCCACTGGGGCGCTCTCATCAGGGAGGAGGCTGGGACCGGATCTGTGGTCTGCACCCTGCTGTCTGATGATCTGTGGATAGCCCCTGAGGAGGTTCACATTTTGACCTCTGGGATGGGGCCTAAGGGAACACTTACGGGGTGATAGGACACAAAGAACAACATGAGCCAAGGCATGGTGGAATGAGACCCCAGTGTTTCCAAGCAGTTGGGCACAGAGCGAGCTTAATGCACTCATGGGAAGAGGCCGAGAGATGAGCAATGGGCATGACAAGAGACAGATGAATTTTAGAAATACTAGTATGGCTGGCTCCTTGTCAATCAGATCTCAGTTTATATCACCTCTTAAGAAGCATTCCCGGGCCAGCCGAGTGGCACGATGGTTAAGAGCTGGCTTGGGACGCCAGAGGGTCCCAGTTCGGATCCCACATATGAGGGCCAGTGACACTGCCCTCCACAGCTAGGATGCTGAACAACAGCTCAACCTGGAGCTGGGCTGCTGTGAGTCTCCGGCGACAGCGTGGGCTGCAGCCCCTGTGGCAGTGGGTTGCCATGGGCTATTGTGTGTGGCCAGCAGCCGCCATGAGCGGCCATCCAGAAGCAGGCGACTGATCTGCCTCGCCTGGGAAGAGCGCAATGATGGTGCCAACTTGGGCCAGTGAAGCAACGTCCTCCACAACTAGACTGAAGAACAAAAGGACAGCAACTTGTCTGTTCCCCTTCCCCCAATTCCCCAATAAAAATCTTTAAAAAAAAAAAAGAAGCATTCCCCAAGTCTCCAGTGAAAAGTGCCACACCGACTCCCTATCACATCACTGTAATTGGGTCTTCTACAGGCACTTCTCAACACCTGGCATGTTTCTTGGCTGTTCATTGTCTGATCCCTTCCCAGCCATGACAACACAGACTTTGTTCCCTGCTGGATTCCTAGAGTCTAAAGCATTGCCTGACACAAGTTAGTAGTGAAAATTATTTGTCAGTGAATGATGTATTTCTGTAAAAGAAGCTGTGGAGAGGGCCGGTACAGCTTCGTGTTCACGTGCCTTGCTTTGGATCAGTCTGGGGTAGAAAAATAATGTTTAATACTTATGTAATGCTTACTAAGTTCCAAGCACTATTCCAGTTATTTATATAGTAATTCATTTACTCTTCAAAATAACCTTTAAAAAGATACCACTGTTTTACAGAAACTTGCATAAGGAAGGAAGTAAATGAATTTGACCAGGGTCACAGAGCTAGTAAGCGGAGGAGCTAGGATTTAAACTGAGACCTTGTTCTTTCATTGCAGTTTCTTTATAAAATGGGGATAATAATAGTACCTGCCTCTAGGGTTGTTTTGAGTATTAAGTGAGATGCTGCATGTATTTTTTGAGGGCATATAATTAACCTTTAATATTAGCCACTGTTATTATTGATAGATTTGGTGACTTGGATAGAGAAGGAGAAGGGATCATTTCTTTCCATTAGCTGTTGAGTGTGCATATGTAAGTGGAGTGACACCGGGGATTGCAAGTTTAGGGGGAGGCTAATGAGTTCAGCTTTGGATATACTGAGTGCACGAGGATACCTACTGCTTCAGGCAATTGGCAGAGGTGGGCGCATGGCTGCAGACACAGATGGTGTGAGGAGCCTGCCCAGAATAGCAGCCAGAGTGAGGAGAGAAAGCTGGGCAGACCCAGGCCCATGGTGGGAGACATCTGGGGTGGGAGAAGGCCCAGAAGCAGAAGCACAGCTACAAAATGGGAGTTTTGCAAGCCAAGGGAAGAGAGGGTTTCAAAAAAGAAAAGGAAGAACAGTGTCCGAGACCATAAATAGGTCAAATAAGGTGAGGCCTAAAGCTGGTCTACGGGATTTGGTACTACGAGATGTTGGAGATTTTGACAAGACTTGCTTCAGGGTGATGGAGTACTGCTGCGGTTGGAGGTGAACAGGTGGGAAGTGGCGGTGATAAGTGCAGGATGACCTTGTACAAAGCATTCCTAGCAGAAGAAGTGGTTACTCTACTAATGCAGCTCAAGAAGGCAGATGAACATTCTTATAGGTTATGGAGAATGAGTCAGTAAAGGAAGAATTGGAAGGTCAGAAAAGAAATGAGAAGTTTAGATTAAGTGAGGAATGATTCTTGAATGAGGCAGCCACCCCCAATCCAGACCAATTTGAGACTAAAGGTAAGACTACCTGTGAGACAGTAAGTGTAAGCCAGAATGTAGGCTCTTGGGTGAGGGTGCAGAATGTAGGCTCTGGGAGGCCAATCTGGCTCAGTAAGAGGCTTCCTAGTGCTCAGACTGTGCCTGGTGCCTAAAAGGTGCTTACTAAATATCCAGTCAATGAATGGAGTGTGGGCACAAGAATTAGGCTAATTCCTGTCAGCTGGTCTCTTTTGGATGACTAGGAGGCTGTCTTCTAAAAAGAAAGGGAGGGAAGACTGGATGGGAGTTTACCAAGCACCCAATGGCAGGAGTAAAGGAGGGGACACTTAAACTCCAAAGGACTGAATTAAAGGATAAGTAAGGGAATGTAAATTGGTGCAGCCACTATGGAAAACAATATAGAGGTTTCTCAATAAATTAAAAATAGAACTACCAGGGCTGGCGGAGTGGCTCAGTTGGTTAGCTCGCTCAAGAGTGCGAGCTCTGAGCAACAGTGGTTCGAGTCCCGACCCGAGCAGGATGGCTCAGCTAAAAAAAAAAAAAGGTTAAAAAAAAATAGAATTACCATATGACGCAGCAATCCCATTTCTGGGTATATATCCAAAGGAAATGAAAACAGGATGTTGAAGAGATATCTGCACTCCTCTGATCATTGCAGCATTCTTTACAGTAGCCAAGATATGGAAACAACCTAAGTGTCCATCAATGGATGAATGGACAAAGATGGTATGTGTGTGTGTATAAACACATGTACGTATATACATACACACACAATGGAATATTATTCAGCCATGAGAAAGGACATCCTGCCATTTGAGACAACATGGATGGACCTTGAGGGCATTATGCTAAGTGAAATAATCCAGACAAGAACAAATACTGCATTGTATCACTTATATGTGGAACCTTAAAAAAAAAAAAAAAGTCCAACTCATAAAAACAAAGAGTAGAAAAATGGTTGCCAGGGGCTGGGGGTAGGGGAAATAGGAAGAGGGTGGTAAAAAGGAACAAACTTTGAGTTCTAAGGTGAGTAAGTTCTGAGGATCTAATGTAAAGCATGGTGACTATAGTTGATAACACTATTGTATAATTGAAATTTGCTACGAGTAGAACTTAAATATTCTCACCAAAAAAAGAAAAAAAATGTGAGGTGATAGATGTGTTAATTAACTTGTCGAGGGAATCCTTTCACCATGTATGTGAATATCGAATCACCACGATGTACATTTTAAATATCTTAACAATTTTATATGTCAATTATATCTCAAAGCTGAAATTTTAAGAAACAGAATCTATAAATATAAAAATTAATTAAATGATAACTAAACACCAGGTGCAGTAAATTGCCTACAGCCAGAACAGGGAAGTACAGGTTACTGTAGCAAGGTCCGACTGTACTGGACCTTGGATAAGTGGAAAGTGTAAAATCTGAGCCTGCCCTGGCTTATAATGGGTGGGCAAACATGAAATATTGCCCCTTTGCTGTATGACCTTGGGCTTCTGTGTTTGTTTTTTACTAAATGAAGGCAGGAACTCCTGTTCCCTTTTCCAAGGAGATGCCCCAGTACTAAGAGTAAGGCAAAGATGGGTCCGATCCACATTCTCAGCGGTTCTAAATCAGATTCTAGAAAGAAAACCATGGGTGAGCTACTCAAGTGAGCAGAAACTTAGGTAATGGTACTCCCAGCTTTATTCTCTTGACATCAGGGTCTGAATGCTTTGCCCTCCCCCCACCCCATCCCAGGACAGTGCCAGCCAGCAGCAGTCTCTTGCGTATCCTTCCAGATTGAATGTATTTACAAATAAACAGGTGTATTTACTATCTTTAATACAAATGCAGTCATTCTAGTTAGACTGTTCTGAACTCTCCCTTCTTTTTTATTAACTAGATTTATCTCACAACTCATTCCACATCAGTGCATGCAGAGCTGCCTCATTCTTTTTAATAGCTACAGTGTTCCTCGTATGAAAGGATCATTTATTTAACCAGTCCCCAGTG